CATGATACCAGAGCCTGTCTGTATCATGTCTTGTGACGTCCACGGCCTACCCCAGTTACCACTACTGTACATGTGTGTCAAGGACAGAAAGGCAGATGTGGCAGTGGAAGGTGTCAAATCAGTTTGGAGAGAAAAACAAAGTAAAGAACATGTACCAACATCACCAACATGTACAGCAATGGGAAATCCAGAGTCTAGACCGTTTTGCGTTAGCCGTTAGCTTCACCAGCTGATCACACGGTCACGTGGTTTCTGAGCGCTCCATCTGTTCTATAGATCCTCCTTGGTGCACCCCTATTTTTGGCATAAGTTTATTTGGTGCAATAACTTGTTTATTACTCTGCTCCGTTTGAGGAACCGTTATTGTTCATCAGTCTTGTGTGATCATTGCAGTAATGTAGTAAACAGTGATACAGAAGACAAAGCAGCTGGTGTCTGCATCGAACACAAGTATCTGTCATTGCTCTGGAATCCATCACGCTTGCATACGCAAGAGGAAAAGGTGAGACAATGACATCATTGTTTACTCTGTTCACAGAGAGCAAAAATGCAACAGGGAATTTGAAGATATTTTCACTCCTGAACCTAAAATAAACCTAAAATATTGTTTAACGGCCCCTAAAACACAGATCCTGTGTACCCTCAAGCCTGAAACATAAAAGAACCTTAGTGTATCCACTAAGGGTAAATTTTCCATTGCTGAGTAGAAAGGTTGAGTGTTTGAGGCAGCCCACCTGCGTGGACCCTCACCTGTGTGATGAGAGGTCTGTCCTTCTCGCAGACTTCGTTGTAGAAGTTTTCTCTCCGGTAGTTGGCTTGTTTAACAAACACCTTAGCGTGCAGCATTGGAGTGTAGCACAGGTGAGCCCCGTGTCTCCGGCTCAGCATGCGCCAGGCCAGCTCGCTCTGATCCACCATGGGGGCCAACACATAGCGGGCTTCCTTTAAGGTCTTCCTCCAGAACTCGAACCCACTGAGCTTCTCCATCTGAGCTCACGTCTACCAACAACACAGGACAGGAGATTATAAAAGCATCCGCTGAAGATTACCTTAAACGTTTGTCAACAGAGAATTTAATCCTTGATCAAATTTACAAACATCTGGAGGGACCCAGCTCCCACGCTGAGCTTGTAGCTGCAGATTAACTTCTGCTTTATTAAGATGCAGCCACATATTTTTAATTAATCGTGTTCTTTATCATTTTAATCTACTGGATGAGTTTTTAGCAACGCTTCTAAACATTTTACCAGACAGGAAACAGGGTTCTGATGAATGGAAACATGTCCAATGTTACAAACACAAGCTCACTGCAGGAGCCGGTTCAACTTTATTGGTCTTAATGTTTTACAGACGGAACAGCTCACTGTGGATTTTAGGGAAAACGAAGGAGAAAGCCTAAATCCAGCTTTACTCATGGGGAAACGTGTTGAAGTTGTGAACTCATACACTCAAATTTTACATTTAAGCAACTTATTAAGAAAACTACAAACGTAATAAAATTCAGCAAGTTTGTTTTACACAAATGACCACTTGTGTCTAAGTTACATGAATAACCGATCTAATACTCAGTACATTAACCATTAAGAAAAACATTGCATGGAATAAATGTTATGATTTTACGACTAAAATCCAAAAATAAAGACACACCGACAAGAACATCATGACTTTCTCCAACTGTCACTTGTCCCTTAAGAGAAGGTAAAGTGACATTTAGGTTTAAACCTTGTTTTTTTTTTTGTTTTTTTTAGATTAGCTTGTTGTTTTTACGCGTTTTGTTTCATTTATTTTCTTCTTACAAACAGGTTAGCTGTCATCTCGGCTAACACGTGACGGTCGGACTCCTCCCGCAGGAAGTCCCGCAAATAACCTCACCTGCGTCACCAACAATAACAAACCAGCACAGCCTCGTAATATAACTGTGGGTGAATGTTACATGTAAAAATTTACAAATGAGGTTTCACCTGTTAGAATGAGAGTGGACAGAGTTCCTGACGCAGCACTTTCCAAAACTTGTGCAACTGCGAAATAATCCCGGAGGAAACCGTGACTTCATTCTGTGATCCTGACTCTGCTTCTTCTGTTWCAGGTGCATTACCGCCACCTTCTGGAGTGGAGTGTATGTGTCTTTAACTGTTTTATTATCCTAACATTATGTTATTAGATTATTACTCTAATATTATTTTAAAAGCTAACGCGCTTTAAAATATGTAATTATTATGATATAATCAAATATTACTTCAACTGCTGATCTTTGAAGCAATATCCTAATTTTGAAGTTGTTCTCATCTTTGTAAAAATTTCTCTAAATTTGCTCTCCTTTAAATATTTACAAATGTCTGATCTATTATTTCTATTTATCTGTAATGTTTACAATATCTTGTGTCATGTTTTGTAATTATTTAAACGTGCTATTTAATCTAAACCTTTTTCTTCTTCCTACGATATTTTCCAAATTCACCCACATGTGCCAAAATTTAATATCTTTAAAGATAAAAGTATGAAAACTGTCCTCTGTGTCTCTCACCATGTTATTGATGGCCACCTGTCTGCTGCTCTGCAGGATGGATGTTGAGACCATCAAAGACTCGATGGGAGCAGCCTGATTTCATGATATATTTATTTATTGTAATTTGGCACACCTCAACGTCCATAAAACAGTACAGAATACGTATAAATATGCAACATATTCACGTAAAACTCTTTTGGACTGCAATTCAATATTTATTTAAATTATTTTGACACCACATAACATACTGTTATTTTGAAACCCAGTACAACTTAATGCTAAAATAAAATGAGTCTTGCAAATCTACAAGGAATAACAAACCCAGAAGCCACAAAAACATTATAAAATTTCTTCAATCAGGTATCCTTTGCAGTTGTATAAAATAAAACAAAATGGAATAATTTTCAAGTCTTACAAACCCATATTTTATTCCCAAAGGAACACAGTAAACATTAAACAGTAAAAGTAAGTAATCAGATTTTAAAATAGAATTATTTTTAAATTTTATGGCAGAAACACCCAAGACAGAGGCGACAAAACGCTGTAAAAGGTTGCAGTTTGATTCAGAAACATCTTGAGGAGCATCTATAGTCAGGATGATGGGAAACAGGTCAGGAGGACTGAACATAAAAGGACTATTTTAGAGAAGYTGAACCAGTCTGATGTACAGATCAGCAGAGGTTTAACCATCCACACAAAAATAGTGCAGAACTTCCGACTGACGGTCCAACAGAAAATTGGGAAGACCACGTTTGGTGCATCATGAAACCAAAATCCATGTTTACAGACTTGTTTAAAGAAGAGATGATTACAGGAGGAAATAACATTTTTGAGATGTCATCAAATTCAAATGTTTAATCAGGAATTAAATTTTCAAATCCTTACATTGCTTATTTACATGTTATAGAATGCTTCAACTTTGTCTAAACTAGGCTCCTTCTACAATGTGTGTTTTTCTTTAACGTTGTAATGTTGTTTAATGTATATTTAATACTTTTTGCTCGTTTGCTGTTTGTATGAGCACAATGCTAGAATAGAAACTGAGAAAGCAGAGAAAATAATGTTATGTGTGGCAGGTGCTGCAGTGTGAACACATGTTGTCATCACAACAGATGCAGTGTGCGTGTGTGTGTGTGTGTGTGTGTGTGTGTGTGTGTGTGTGTGTGT